CAGGGAGCCCAATGTGGGGCTTGATCCCAGGACCCTGAGATCCTGACCTGAGCTGAAGGCAGATGCTTAACCAACTGAGCCACCCAGGTGCCCCAGATATATGAATCTTTAACTGTAATGGATTTTTCCAGACTGCTTTCCTAAAATGCTACCATGGTTCCCATTTCTACCTCTTTAGTGTTTTCCACTCTCATGGCAATAAAATGATGTTTCGTTTTTCTCTAATGTGATTTTTCCTAGAAACTAAGGAGCCCACACATCTTTTCGTGTACTTGTAGACCATTTGGATTTGCTTTTTTGGTGATTTAATACTTATGTGTCAATGGCAATGTGTCAGAGCTCTTCATGGAACTATATCACACACACACACACATGCACACAGAGACTTTGTCATTTGCCTTGAAAATATTGTTTTTCCAAATCTATAATTTATGTATTGGCTTAGTTTACGGTGTTCCTCAAAACACATTTTTAATTTTCAAACATGGATTTCTTCCCCTCCCCTCCCCCCCCAACCATTCTCTGGGTTTCCAGTGTGAGTAGGGAAGTGGGTTTTTTTTGGGTTTTTTTACATTTGATTTTTTAATCCATCTGAAATTTATCTTTTCCTAAGGTAAAAAACGAAAATTTAACAACTTGCTCTTATTAAATAAGGCATATCTGTTTTATGATGTCTCTGTCATTCCTTCTGCTTCTATCCGCTGTGTTGCGCCCTAGGATGACCACGATGGAGGTGTGCATAACTGATGTTTTGTAGCATGGCTACATGGATAGAGGGTTGGCTCTGAGACTCAGAGTTCAAAACCATCACAATGGCTCACAGCAGAGTTCATGCAAGATGTCTTAGGGGCACCTGGCTGGCTCAGTGGGTGGAGCATGCAACTTTTGATTTGGGGGTTGTGAGTTCGAGCCCCACATTGGGTGTGGAGATTACTTAAAAAAATAAAATCTTAAAAAAAAAGTCTTAGGGAAAAAATATGACTCCCAAGACCATAAAGTTGAGCATATCTGAAGAAATCCCATTCCAATCAGAAAGGGGCTCGGAACCTTAGAAGAATAAAAAGGTGGAATCAAGGAGACGGTGGAGGAAGAGGAGATATTGGTTGAGATTTTAGTTGCCTTGATGTGGGCGATTGTCTCCAGTGCCATTGCCCTGGATCAGCAAATGACCTTGGTTCCAATTGCAGCTCACTCAGTATCCCTGGAGATCTGGCTTCCTATGTGGCTTTACGGTGGCAAGGCATGTCATGATCTTCAGACACAGCATTCTAGCCCACATATTCATTCATTCAACAAGGATTTATGAGTGAACCAAACCGACAAGGTGTCTACACTCAGGAAGCTTATTCCCTGGTGGGGGAAGTAGACCATAAATAGGATCAATAAAAGAAGATGTTAGCTAGTGATAGGTACGAAGGAGAAAACAAAATCTAGGAAGGGAGGTAGGAAATATGGAGAGAGGGATATAATTTTTAAAAAGATGACCAGGAATGGCTCCACTGAGAAGGTGACATCTGAGTAAAGACCTGAAGGGAAGGAAGGTGTGATCCATGCAGGTATTTAGAGGGAGAGCATCCCAAGTGCAGAAGCCCTGAGGCAGGAGCATGCCTTTAGCCCAGAGTGGCTGGAGCTGGTGAACCAGGGGGAGGGTGATTGAAGATGATGCCACAGAGTCAACAGGCCAGATGCTATAGGGTCTCAGGGGTCATTATAAGGACTCTGGCTTTTCCCCTGGTCAGATCGGAAGCCTTTGTAAGGTTTTAAACAAAAGAACACCACCACTGCAGCAAAACTGAGCAGAAGGTTGTCCCCACCCCTAGAAGAACGTGTAATTAATGACATAATCACACTGTAATATAAATGTATCAGATCGACACGCTGTGCCCCTTAAACTTACACAATGTTATATGCTAACTATATCTCAATTTAAAAAATGGAGCCGAGGGTCGTCTGGGTGGCTCAGTCGGTTAAGCATCTGCCTTCGGCTCAGGTCGTGATCCCAGGATCTTGGGATCAAACCCCGCATTTGGTTCTCTGATCAGCCGGGAGCCTGCTTCTCTCTCTGCCCCTCCCCTGCCCGGCTCGTGCTCTCTCTCTCTTTCTCTCTCTCTCTGAAATAAATAAATAAAATGTTAAAAAAATGGACCAGGAAGTGCAGAGATTTTGCACATATATCCCGTTCCCACATGTGCACATCCTCCCCAAATGTCCACATCCAGCACCAGAGTAGGACATTTGGTACAACTAATAGGCCTTCGTCGGCACACCATTATTCCTCAGAGCCCATAGTTTACATTAGGGTTCACTCCTGGTGTGGCACACTCCGTGCGTTTGCACAAACGTCAAGGTTGAGAAAAGTTCACCTCTATTCCTGGTTTGCATGAATGGGTGTTGGATTTTGCCAAATGCTCTTTCCGGTTTCCTTTTTGACAGTTGAGCTTTTTCTAATAAATCAATACATCGGTCCTCTGGTGTATATCTCTGGGAACTGGGTTGATGCGACCTGTTCTTGAGAGAATCTCTCAGCCTGACCTCTGGATGCTCATGAAATCGGGGTTGTGTGAGTTCTCTGGAGGAGGCTCCCCTCGTAAAGCCTTAGGGAGGACAGCGGGGCTGCCGGCTTCTCCTGATGTCCCTGCTCCTAGTCAAAGCAGTGCTGAGGGCTAACCTCAGACCCACAACCTCCACGAGCTTCCTTCCCGAGAGGCCTGGAGTCTCAGGGCTGTGGCTGACCTCAGGCAACACAGAAGGGATTGCTTTGGGCCCCGCGGTCAGGACAGAATGTTCACTTCCTCCTGAGTTGGGGGAAGACGTCAGATCAGCAGTTCTCACCACAGTGGGGAGAGGAGAAGGAAAACTCCTTTTTCCGGTGCCGGCAACCACACAACCCCAGTAAATCCTCACGATCAGACACCTCGAACGAGGAACCAAGGGCCTGCGTGACCTGCTGGATCTACGCTATGGCAGCAGCTTCGGAAGAAAGATTTTCGGAGAGGGTCTTTCTTTGTAATAATCTAAAGAAAACCAACTCTTCACCCTCTTCTTCATAATACATCATCAGGACCTTTCGATTGCATTACCAAAGGTTTCTCGAATCGGTGGACTTCTTTCTCTCTCTGCCACCACCAGCTGCTGAAGAATCATTATCTTCATTTCTGTAGATGATACAGAGGCCCAGAGAGGTGAGGGAAATGCTGAAGATCCCACAGCAAGGATGCAGCACGATACGGGATAGAACCTGTTTTCATGCCAACAGCACAGTGCGGATAAGGTCTGGCCTCCTTGGTGTGGCTTTTTCTACCAGCCTGAGGTTTAGACAAGTGGTGTAGTTCTAAGACTTCCTCATTTTGGCAACCTTTCATGCTCTATTGGTGGATCTTGCGCTTTGAAAATGAATCTCTTACCGATGCATGGTTTGGCTCATCACACCTTGGTCATTTGGGAAACGGTTCATTGGGTTATGCAGATCCTCCAAATGTTGACACATTTCATCAGACGGTATCCAAAAAAAAAAAAAAAAAAACCCAAAAAGAATCATATCTGTTAATCCGCTTGCGACAGAAATGCCTTGTAAGCATGGGAAGCTCTCCAGCTCACGGTGGCAAAGACCAGTTCTCCAAAATTCTAAATTTTGCCTGAAAACTCACATTTTTATCCTTGGCAATAAATGTTGTCAGTGTTTTCTTCTCAAAGCTGTAGGCTTGCTTCTCTCGTTTTCGAGAAAACGTCTTTTAAAGAGCCAGGTCTTTAATACCCAGGTCTCTAATACCCAGTTAGTCAGCTGTTTGTTCTGTAGCCGGTTCTGCTAACAACCCAAACAATTGCATAAGTGCTTTTCCTGGAGCTACCGTCATATTCGCTGTGCAGAAGTGTTTTATCGGTACTTCCCATTTTGTCCCCCGTGATATTAAAAAACATGTACTTGAGGGTTGAGATTTAATAAAATTAATAATTGTTTCTGCTTCACCAATGACACTCTTATGGAAAACTGTTTTTTTTTTTTTTTTTAGGACAGGTGCATGATAGTGAAGAATACAGACTGCTGGTCCAGTTTGGTGTCACTGTCCAGATTCCTGGAATGGTGCCAGAAGTTTCACCCACCATTGTGTTTGCCTTGTCAGTGTAAATATTCACATGGTGGAAAAGGTACTTAATGTCTTAGTGTTATTATGATACATAATTTTGAGCCTGCAGACCTCCTGAAAGGGTCTTAGGGCAGTCAGGCACTTGTGAATCAGACCTTAGGAATTGCTGGACTAGTATAAGAGAGTGACATCTCAACAACAGCCTCTTGCCAGGAGCAGGTAGCAGGGACCCACCCCTTCAAGCTCTAAGGAATAGGACGACTTAGTCCTGATTCTGGGTATATGGGCCTGGAAGACCATTAGCTGGGGCTCATTTAAAGCAAGTTTTTTTTTTTTTTTCCCCCTTTCCTCCAGCATCTCCTGGGCCATGCTCTGTGGATCAACCCCAGCTCTTCCCTGGGAAGAGCTCACTCATATCTGGTGAAGCCGACCGGCCCAGAACCAACCCTCCATGACATCATATTGGAAGATGTGTGAGAACGTGCTCCAGGGAACTCAGACAGACTGGGCACCAGGGAAGGTTTTTGGAATAAGAGGCAGAGGAGGAAGTGAGCCAGCTTTTAGAGGCGAGAAGGACTTCTTTAGGCAGGGTGTGGGGGAGGACATTTTAAACTGTAGGCATTGCTTGAGCAAAGGCACAGGCTCAGAGGCGTGAAAGCCCACTGAAGAAAGGGTGCAAAGAAGTATGGCTTAAAGTCTAGTGTTCCAAGATCAAGGCAGCTAGATCAGTCAGGGTGTTAAATGCTACATAAGGAACTTGGAATTTATTCAGCAGCAACAGGGAGTTCATTAATGATATAGGTGACCTTGTATTTAAGGCAAATCCCTATTTTCCTAATGAAAACATTTTTAAAAATTAAGGGATCAATCCAGATAAATTTAAACTCTTAGGAACGTTGATGAACTAGTCAGATGTCGAATTATAATATTTAATTTATTTAGTTACACATGCATATTTAAAATAACATTATATACAATAATACATTAATACAAAATATGCTTCCCCCCCCATTCTTACATGTCAAGTAACAATTTTATTCAAAGTCTCTACATGCATCTTGGACATCAATGTCTTCATCATATCCAGAGCCACTTTCTTCAAATATATATCCTTCAATTGCATCTAAGTTGTCTGAGATGCAGCATTTAAAAATACTTGTCTGACACTGTCATTGGAAAGTTTGATCCAAGTCACCACGTTAGGACAGTTCTCCCCCCACCCTCAACTTATCATGTAGGTGCAAGTTTATAATCCTTACAACAAAAGTATTCACTTATTGCTTTTGAAGTTGCTCTTTGAAAGGCTGGTTTACAAAACCGAACTCTTGTAATAGTGAGGGCACACTCCTGGAATGATTACGAAGGTTCTTCCCACCTCTCTTTTCACCCATTCCACTAGGAGTCTATAACATTTCTTGCATCGTTTGTGGTTATGGTGGGCTAAAATGTGAGGAGAGACCAAGCAGAGGTAGTAGAGCTGTTGCAGGAGATGACAAGACCTAGTTACGGGTGAGACTGAAGAGTAAAATACGTTCTTGAGAACGAAGAATGACAAAGAGCTCTAAGTTGGGTTGCCGGGTGGATCATCATGATGGACAGTCAAGTGTCTTGGGGTGGGAATGAAGCAGTGATGCATCAAGGACTTGGCAAAAGATAGCTGGGCGTGTCCTGGAGCCGGGTAGGGGCAGCCTCCCGACGTGGCAACGGAGGATGTGGAGCAAGGATATGGAAACAGCACTGGCCAGCAGTGGGCAGTCATGCCAATATACCAATATGGAGTCCTGGTCCAGTTGCGGGGGGAAGGGGGAGTGTCGGGACTGGGAAGAAAGGGTATCTTGAGGTAAGAGATACATGCAGAATGGACACGCTCTGGAGGAAGACTGAGATGATCAGGAAGTCTGTGAATCACAAAGAGGGGTCCACCTAGACTGCCCCCAACGGTTTCTCGTGCTCTCCCATAACACTCATCGCACGCATAGTCATTGTTTTCTAGACTGCAAGGAGGATAGGCAATATGTGTTCTGAGGACTGCTGTACCCCCAGTAACTAGAAGAGGCATATAACAAGTCCCCAGGAAACATGTGCTGAAGGAAGAAACGGGGAGGAGGGAGATGAAGAGGGGCAGAAAGGAAGAACAAGGTACCAGTGTCCTATGGGAGGGACTTAAAAAGAAGGACAGTAAGGGAGACGGGTCAGGAAAGGCATGGTCAAGACCTTAGAGGGCAGTTGGCATCAAGGAGCTGGGGGACACACTTGAAGGAAGTGGACCAGACAGGGATTGCACCCAAGATTCCACTGGGGCCTTGGGTGTGATCCCAACAGCCCAAAGTCTCAGCCCTGGAAGAACATGTCAGGAGCACTGCCCGGCAAAGGCACGGGGCATAGGGTGGGCAGAAAGTGGGGAGGAGACCGTGGGGCTGAGACTAGACTGTGGCTTCTTCTAAGCCTTACCCCAGCAGGAGACACTTGCCTCGATGGTCTCAGACCTGCTCAGTGACTGAGACAGTGGGGTGGCGTTTGGGTGTTTGTTTTGGCGTTAACATCTGAATACTAATAAAGGATACGTGTGCTTGTTTTGGTGACTCACGAGTAATAAGCCTCAAATTCCATTTCTGTGTAGCATGGGCATTTCCAATAAAAGGGAATGAAAATACTCAGTTCCCAATTTGCAGGAACAATTGGAAGGCAGTGATTCTCAAAAGTCTGGTCTCTGATTCTCTGGTCTGGTCTCAAAAGCAGCAGTAGCATCACCAGGAAATGTGTTAAAAATGCTAATTCTCAGCCCTTACCCCAGACCGATCAAATCGGAACCGGGGTTAGGCCCAGAAATCCATGGTTTAACAAGTTTCTCCAGGGGATCCTGATGCATGTGAAAGTTTAAGAACTGCTGCTTTAAAGCAATGGATGGAATGTTTTAAAGCCACGGTCCCCTTTTCTGGAAACCTTCAGCATCTGCTCCACTAGTCTTTAATGAGTACCAACAAGCAGCACAATGAGAGAAGAGCCGAAGGCGACTTACGACAGAGCAGGGTGGTGGGAAAGAGTAGGTTCACTGCCTGGATTGGCTTCCTTGGCCTCTGGAGCCTCAGCCTGCCTCATACGAGGGGAAGAGTAGGTACTTACCTTTCCAGTGCCTGGCACCGTGTTAAGTACTCAGTTCTGCTGCTTGTTGTCATTATCATGAAAGCAGAACTCAGAAAGAGCTGATCACCTCATGGAATCAGCTCAGTCGCTAGCTAGCTTCTTCCAAGGCTGGGATTTTGTCTCACGTGCAGGTAGTAATTTTACACTACTAGCCTTCTCGTTTCTGAGAATTCACATTTCCCCAAGTTCTGCAGAGAGCCCCCAGGGGGCTGAGACTGAGCCTTTGGCCTCCTCTTAGCCTACCCCACTCCGAGAGACTTGCTTGATGGCCTCAGACATCAGGTGCCGCCCCTTGTCGTCAGCCAGGTGCTCAACACCTGAGTGTTCTCGTTTTGCAGGGAGTAAATGGAATGGCGGGGCAGCCAGTCCTCGAGGGGTGGGTGCTCTCGGAAGAGCGACCCCTCCTTAGGCCTCTTCTACCCTGTGGGTCTCTTTTACGGGTCAGGAAAGCCTAGTGACCCCCTGCAGGGCTCTATAAGGAAGGGGTGTTAAATCATAGGCTCAAAAGGCTATCTTGAGTCCAAAAATACCAGCAATCATAGATGGAGCTCCAGCTTCTATCTCCTCCTCAGTAGAATGGAAGCTCCAGGTGGCCCAGAAGTTTGTCTTATTTCCCGTGTCCCTGCACTGTAAACAGAGCCCGGCACTTGGTAGACATTAAAATACTTTGGAATGGGCAAACATTTGCTAAACCGGTGGCTCTGTCATTAGAAGGAACAAAAGGTTGCTCTCTGTTAAGAGGAGGGAACCGAAGGTGTGGGTGGAGTGCACTGGGTTCTGGGGAGCACCAGAGCTACGCAGTGTGGAGGCCCATGGTGCTGTTTGGCTAGGGCCTTTCCACGAGTTGCATGGTGGGCAGGACTCTTACTGTGACTAGGCAGAGGCCAGCCGGGGATCATCTAGGGGGTGAGCCTGAAGACACATTCAAGATGGGGGACTCAAGATACCTGAAGTCAGGGGAGATGCCGGTCACCACAATCCTATCTGCTCCTTGGCAATTCCCAGCTTTCTCTGAGCTGAACTTAAGCCCACTTTTTCTAGGCACCTTGCGCGCCCACCACAGGCCCAGAGGGCCCAGCTGCCCCGGCCTGTGCTCATGAACACAGGTTACAACCAAGGAGCAGTGGTGTAGGCGTCTCGGCGGTGCCTGGGGGTGAGGGGGTGGGGGGGTGGGGGCACTACCACCCTTGGGCAAGGGGCTTAATTATTCCAGGTGAATTCGGACACCCTCATTGTCCCAGAGCAGGCGGTTTGAGGGGAACATACGGAGGAAATAATTTGGTCGCATTAAGTTACTAAGGCAGAAATACTCACTACCCTGTGTGACAGGCAAGCAGATGAACTTCCTCCTCCCTAAGCATGAAGGTCTGGCTTTTGCTCATATGGATTCCTCCAACACTCGCTACACCATGGCCATTTCCACCTGTCCCAAACCCACAGGATACCATACTTCTTACTCCCAGCCATTCCCAACCCTGCCTAAGCAGAGAGGCCTATTAAGTGCCCACAATGCTTATCTATGAGGGGCCTCATGAGGTAATTATTAGTGTGGGTCTCCTAAGTTCGGAACCTTGAGGGTTTCGCTGAGATTTATTCCCACTTACGGTTCCAGCCAAAGGACAGAAGTCTTGCCTAGTCCACAGAAGTGGTCAGCAGGTACCTATTTTGTAGTAATCACTGCCCTCCATCATTTGAAGATTATCAGTTACTCATTGATAGAAATGCCCTCTATTTCTGGGTTTATTATAGTTGCTAAAAGCGGGGATGGTGTTTATCCTTTGGAAGGATGTTGGGAAGCATGAAAAGGCCCTGGTCCAGAAGGCCTGAGTTCTAACGATGACTATCCCCACAGCAGGCTAAAGACCTACCCTTTTCCTGGGCCTGAGTAACTCCTCACTATAAAAATGAGGGAGTGTCTTTTAGCTCCATTAGTTGAGGATTCCATTTTGAGAGAATTTACAAGATGACCAAAGGTTTGCTAAAGAAAAATTCTCCCGAATGTAGGGGTATTTTGCAAACATGCTAAGGATGCATGATCATGAGTTAATTACAACAGTCTGGTAGTACTTTCGTCAAGGTCCTTTTGGTTGCATGTCATAAAAAGTCACTTCAGACTGATTTTGTAGGAATGAGGGCAGGGTCAGTGTGAGTCAGGCGGGTACCCCCAAACAGTATCAGCAGAGAGAGAGAGGTCAGCTGCTTCAGCAGGTGCTTAGTTACGAGTACTTAAAACAAAGTCATCTGTAATTGTCTACAATTCAGAGTGACTTTCCCTCCAAATTCCTACCGAACTTATCACAGCTCCAGAAATGTGCATTACTTACCTTACATAAAGCTCTACCAAATACTGAAAAACCCAAGTTGAAAAAGTTACAAAAAGTTGCTCCCTGTTTTATTGCTCTTCGCTGGACTTGGCTGACATTTGCTTTTTACTTTCCTCAAATCTTACAGGAGTGAAGACATGGCAAGTTACAAACGGTACCCCTTTTGCACTAACATCTTTTCCAACAGTTTGCGTTGAGATCAGCAACATGGTAAAAACGGATGCTCAACGGATTCCTCGAGCCTATGAAAATCCTGCCGAGGCCTCATATTTTGTGGGCGCACTGCATAGAGCCTGGAACTCAGTGGTGCTCAAAGTCAGGCTGAATCCAATTCCAATTTTAATGTAAGTAGAAGGATCATACTTCTGATCAAATATTAAATTCGGCTAATAACTGCAGGCCACAATCTGCTTCTGTGTCCCACAGCAGGTGGGGCAGAAGAAAGTAACCAAGTCTCCAACTTGCTATTCTTCTCTTTATAAGAACCTTACGACTACGGACATATCTAGCTCAGAAGCACAAAACGTATACAAAGAAATTACTACGTATTAACTGAAAGCACGAGTTTAAACAGCCTAGAGTCTTACAGAAATTGTTATTGCAAAACATGCTCAGGCAGCAAGAGTCACCCAAAACCACATTTTATTCTATGACCTTTATATTGCTTTTCTGTTACTTAAAGGTTGAAGCAAAGTGAAAGGATGGAAATATTTTGTTAAAAGAACAAAATGCATCAATCACAGCAAATACACCTCATAAAACCTCAGGTCTATGCCGTACACTCCAAACACAAGGCTAAGTCCAGGAGTGGCTCATGTCTGGGTTTTTGTAAAGCAAATGGACATATATGGAAGAATCAACACATTTCAGTAGAGGACTGTAAGTGCCCTGAAAGCAGAAAGTTGACACAATTTTAAATATAATTCTCATATATATATATTTTTAAAATCAAACACAATTAAATAGAATATGGTTTAAGTACATGAATACTTCGCTTTAGAAGAATAACAGAGGTGGTACATAGTACCAAAAACTTATACACAGCCTTTTTGCTTCTTCTGTTGATGAAACAGTGAGCCTCTATACAATCACATATTGCAATGAAATAAATTCTCTATTCATTCAAGACTTTCTCAAGGACAGAGGTGATTAATAATTATATATTTATATATATATATATATATATAGATCTTCTCTTTTTTTTTTTTTTTGCAAAGTCTGAGCAAAAGCAGTAACACCTAAGAGAACGTTCTTCCCCCTCAGTCACGTGCAGTGAAGAAGCATCGGCCTCGCCTGGCCGGTGGACTGTGCTTGCCGGCGGGGTGGCCCTGCTCATGGCAGCGAGGCCCGCGCCCACTAGCTGACCGAGTGGGAGTGCAGTGAGGGAGTCTCCTACTCTCCTGAAGACAGAATGCAAAAAGGCCACCAGCTGCACACTTCCCAGCTCATAGCAAAGAAAGGAGAGGCGGTCAAGGTTGAGTGTTTTTCCTGCCTCCTCCCACCCCAACGCTTGCTTGCCAATCTTAAAAAAAAAAAAAAAAAAAAGAAAAAAAAGAAAAAACAAAACAAAAACCATACAATCTAGGTATAAACATTTGTCCAAGATATCACAGGGGGAAACTGGAGTGATTGTTACTCTTCCTTCTTTTCCACATGTACTCTGAAGGAAAAGTTAAGTAACTTGGAGCAGAGTATTCCAGAAGGGCAAGTCTTCACGCTCAATATAAAGGAGACTCATCTTTTTGTTAAGCAGGGGAGACTGGTTTTCAGTATATTGCATCTCAGGAGCAATTAAAATGTGAAAATTGCATACTGTCACCAAAGGGAAGGACAATGTCACAGAGACTTGACCTGTCGGCTAGCTTCCTTCCACATTAATGCCTCTGTGAAGGAAGACTGCCAGGGAGCCCTCGCCCCGTTCTGCTGAAGGAGAACAACCCACTAGCACCGTACCGCCGCTCTGAGCTGCCTGGCTCTCGGAGGGGCTGACTCACCTGTGTGTTTAGGAGGCCAAAGCAAAGCACTTCTGGTACCTGCTTTAGGATACTTGTAGGGCTGGGCCACTGCTACAGAATGTGCATCAAATATCAGCTCTACGCTCACCTACCTCCCACAGTATGTGGTCCCTGTCTATTCCAGTGGACTAAAACTCTTTCAAAATGGGTTATTGCCATTGGAAAGCTATTAATTTTCTAGTAATGTAAACAATACCACTTTGTCTCTTTATGACTTTCACTGTGTGAACATCATGTGCAGCAAATATGTCTACATGTCACTCTGCTTATGATGGAAGTCTAGGATTGTCTGCCATTCTTTCTTGGGAACAACAGTGATATATCAGTGAAAAGAAATACAGTGCTTTGTTTTCATTGGCTGTGTTGAAGAATCCAACCAAAGGAAAAAAGTTCTCTTATTTTTCAAAAGCAGATTTCCTTTATCTCAGGTCTTGAGTCATAGCTGAAAAAAAGAAAAAGAAAAAGAAAAAGGTAAGGCACATTTTTATAACCAGTGACATATTATCATTACAGATTAAGAAGGGAACCAACACTTAGTGTTTACTACATACCAGCACTTATGACAGCCAGGATCTGACTACAATAATGAGGTAAAACGCTAGAATTATCTTCATTTACATATGAATGAACAGAAGCTTAAAAAGGTCAACCAACTCACCCTAAGGTTACGCAATGACGACTGGCACCCAGATCTGCTTTTATCTTTCCCTTTTGGCAACAGATATTAGAACAAAATAGCTACTCTTTGATAGAATAATTCTGTTTCTAGGAATTAACCATGGAGCATAGAATTATACACGCACACATTCATTCAAGTATTGTTTGTAACAGGGAAAAACCCAAAACAACTTAAATGACAATCCACAGGGGATTCATTAAATCAGGAGAGCCATAATACAAAATACTCCAATACCTTTAGAAAGAAAAAAAGAACTCGGATTTCTAGCCACCTCACACCAGGTTCCTGAGGCGGAGACCCCTTTATTCACAGCACTGGGGAGGAAACAAACATCCCAGGAAACAAGGTCCTTGGGACCTATACACATGAAACAATTCAGAAATGCTGTGAGGTAGTTTATGTTAAATGCCCAAGTACATTTTATAGACAAGCGTAAAGTAGGACATTCAAAGCAGAGAGGCTTCAACATGGGCTAGACAGGCTGGGTATTCTTTCATGGAAATAGGATGTCTTACGTTCATATATAATCATGGAATGAGAATCAGAAGGGGATCTTATGAGACTATCCTGTCCAATTTCTCCGATCTACTGATGAGGAAATAAGACTTGGAAAAGGAAAGTAACTTGCAAAAGGTCACATATGTGCATTAAATAAAGTGGGATGAACAAGTTCTGTTTAGCCTAGCACTTTTTCCATACCAATATGCAGCGGATCCCTGAGGATGGGCAGGACAGAGATCTTAGCCAGCCAAAGAGAAGGGCTAGCAAGCTTAAAAAACAAAATACAGCAAAATATATCTGTATATCCTAAAAATAAAAAGCACATGGTAATAAAATCTGAACAATGAAAAGCCTTAATTTTATTGTTTTAATTTTTTTTTTAAGAATTTTTTATTTATTCATTTGAGACAGAGAGATACAGAGAGAAAGAGAGAGAGTAGGAGCAGTGGGGAGAGGCAGAGGGAGAGGGAGAAGCAGACTCCCTGCTGAGCAGGGAGCCCGATACGGGGCTCGATCCCAGGACCTGGAGATCATGACTTGGGTCGAAGGCAGACGCTTAACCATCTGAGCCACCCAGGTGCCCAAGCCTTAATTTTAAATATTTGCTTTCTAAAATGGTGCCTAAAGGGACATTTTTGTATCGTTAAACATTTGCTCCTCAAAGATAATGGGGAATCACAAACTCATACACCTTTATCTTGCTCTTTGCCATTTTAGGTTTGCCTGAGCCAGTGAAGATAATTATAGATAAAAATTATCACCCTTACACAGAAAAGAGGATAGAATCTGCACAAGTGAACAGAACTTTGGTGTGAATCAGCTCAGTGTTAAGTTCAAAATTAAACCAAGTTCTGGTAATGACAGTTCTCAGAGTAACAGTTGGCAAAGAAAGGGGGATGCTGGGCCTCAATCTAAATGCAAGCCCTCTGAACTACTGTGGGTTATGTGGGATGTCATCTGAACGTATTTAATTCTGATTCCCAATTTTTGCTAATGTAAATAAGAGTAGTTTAATGCCTTCATAAGGAACATGAGTTAGAGAAAGTTAAAACTGCTGAGGGGGCGCCTGGGTGGCTCAGTCATTAAGTGTCTGCCTTTGGCTCAGGTCATGGTCCCAGGGTCCTGGGATCGAGCGCCGCATCGGGCTCCCTGCTCCGCGGGGAGCCTGCTTCTCCCTCTCCCACTCCCCCTGCTTATGTTTCCTCTCTTGCTGTGTCTCTCTCTGTCAAATAAATAAATAAAAATCTTAAAAAAAAAAAAAAAAAAACTGCTGAGGAAACTGGGAATGTCTGGCTTGAAGAGAGGATCTGTAGTGATGTCCCCTCTTTCAATCCCGGTATTGGTAATTCATCTGATCTCTTTTCCCCTGCCTCCCCCCGCCCCCAGTTAGTTTTGTTAGAGGTTTATCAATTTAATTGGTCTTTTTAAAGAGCCAGATTTTGACTTTTCTCTATTATCTATGTAATTGATATTCACACTTTTTTTAAAAGCCCAACATAGGGCTTGAACTCATGACCCTGAGATCAAGAGTCGGATGCTTAACTGAATAAGCCCCAAGTACTCCAGATATTGAATTTTATCTTTAATATTTCCTTCTTTCTTTGAATTTAATTTACTCATTTCCTAGTTTAAGATAGACGACTGAAAACTTTTTTTTTGTCTATTTAATATAAACATTTAATGCTATAAATTTCCTTCTAAGGACTGCTTTAGCAGTATTCCACAAATACTGTTGTATTTTCATTTTAATTCAGTCCAAAGTATTTTCTAACTTCCATTTTGATTTCTTCATTGACCAATGGAAGACTAAGAAGTATGCTGTTTAATTTCCAAATACTTGGAAGATTTTCCACATATCCTTCTGTAATTGACTTCTTGTTTAATTCCTTTGTGGTGAGAAAACAGACTGTATGATTTCAATCCTTATAAATTTATTTATTTATTTAATTTTTTAAAGATTTTATTTATTTGACAGAGAGAGAGATAATGAGAGCAGGAACACAAGCAGGGGGAGTGGGAGAGGGAGAAGCAGGCTTCCCGCCGAGCAGGGAGCCCGATGCTGGACTCGATCCCAGGACCCTGGGATCATGACCTGAGCCGAAGGCAGACGCTTAACGACTGAGCCACCCAGGCGCCCCTCAATCCTTGTAATTTATTGAAACTTGTTTTATGGCCCAGAATATGGTATATCTTGGTAAGTGTTCTATGTGTAGGCCAAAAGAATATGTACTCTGCTGCTGCTGAATGCACTGTTCTATAAATGTCTCTTAGGTCAAGTTGGTTGACATTGTTGTTGAATCCATTACTGAGACAGGGCTGTTGAAATCTTCAACAGTCATTATGGATTTGTGTATTTTCCTTATAGTTCTATCAGTTTTTGCTTTGTGCGTTTTCAAGCTGTTATTGGATGCATACACATTTAGGATTCTTGATGTCTTCTTGATGAACTGACCTTTCATATAAAATGTCCTTTTTGCCTGGTAATATTCCTTGTTTTGAAGTGAACTCTGACTTGTAATACAGGCAGTCCAAATTACTTTGATTATGTCTGCATGGTATATCTTTCCCATTCTTTTACTTTTAGCCTATGTCTTTATATTTAAAGTGGGCTTCTTACAGATAGCAACTAAGGAGGTTCTGCCATTAAGTATCTAATCAATCTGTTTTTAACTAGACTATTTAGACCATTTATATTTAATGTGGCAATTAATATGATTTCATTTAAACCTACTATCTGGCTATTTGTCTTTCATTTGTCCCACAGGATTCCTTCTTCTCTTTTCCCCCCTTTTCTTGAGTTCTTTTGTATTCAGTATTTTTTTTAGGGTGTGGTTTCTATAGATGGCGTTTTCTCCTGATTGTGGGTTAAGTTTTTCTGCTTCCTTGCATACCCAGTAATACAGTGGATGGCAGACACTGTTATTTTTATACTGTTGAGTGCTGAACTTCATTGTGTTCCTTTAAAGAGGGTTGGCCTTTGTTCTGACATGCAGTTGTTACTTAAAGAGCAGTCTGATCCTTTCCAAAAGTTGCTTTTAAGCTTGGTTAAGGTGCTTTACTCTAGGGCTAATTTAGCTCCAGTGGTAAGGCATAATGTTTCTGAGGACACTACCCAATGTTTTGTACAAGATCTATTCCACACTGGTCAGTAGGGATGTGACCTATTCCTAACCCCATGTTTCAGGAATTGCTCAGCCTACTAATTTCTGGTACTTTTTTCCCTCCCCATGGGCATTTTCACCCAATACATGTATAGATCAGTATTTGGCCAAGGACTTCAAGGGACCTCCATAAGGAGATAAACTCTAGAGCTTTCTTTCTGTGAAGCTCCTTTTCTGGTATCCTGCTCTGACTTCTAGATACCTTGGGCTATCCAAACTTTGATTTCTGACTCCTTAATTCAGCAACACTATGAACTCTGTTAGGCTCTCCCCTCCCTGCACTTTGAAAACTGCTTCTAGGCAGTGAGCTAGGGATAGTGTCAATGTTACCCTTCTTTCAAGGATTACAGACTTCTACTGCCTGTTGCCCATTATCTGGAAACAGTTGTTTCATTTAGTTTGTTAGTTACTTAGTTGTTCATGATGAGAGGTCAGTTTCTAGAGCAGCTAATCCTTCAAAGGCAGAGGAATGTCCCTTATGTCCTTTTTAATTTTTATATATCTGGAATGTAATTCTTCTCAGTTTTATGCAAGCTAGATCAGAATACAAGTCATCCTTACCTTTGTAGACTTCTCTAAAGGTTGATCATATTGTGCCTGTTGCATAACATCACTGACTATCATTTTAGCAATCTTCCAAGCTAGCTCTTCTTGGGCCTAAAACAAAACAAAAAAAACCCCCAATTCAACTGTTGATAATGGTTATTCATTAGAAAAATCAAGACTTATATTATCAGTGCTCTAACACAACTATATATGCATATCATGTCTACTTCTTTGGATAAGAAGCACATTCCATGTATGAACGGACCTGGACCACCTTCTGGCTACACTACATTAACATGCTGTTCATGCACTGTCTTCTAGGGTCAGCTACTGGGTACCCAACATCATGACTATTTTCATGTTAGATGATCAAAACAAAAAGTTTTCTTTTTCCACTCACATCTCTCAATGTACTTAACTAACTAGTCAAAAACCAAGCCTCTTCTGAAAACTGACAGTGAGGAAGGAAACATTTGAGCTTTTTGTTTCTACTGATGCCTGCTGGTTGATGAAAACTTGAAGGCATGGATATTTTTCAGTGGCCAGAGTTCTGAACTAAAGATCCTGCACTGCCCCATGAGGCAACTGTTAGATGCTAAATAGGGCCTGCCCTTTCTTGTTACATCCTGGATAAAAGAGCAATGTGCCACACCACTTAAACATGGGAACTAAAGAAAGAGAAAACTTGAAACCTTACTTACACAAGGTGCCACTTATAAACAGGAATTTCTTTACACTAAAAGTAGACTTTACCTCGTCAGTATTTCCTTGCACCCATTTCTTCATAGCTTGTGAGAACATGAATCCTAGTAAACAAAACCAAAACTGAATGTAGATTTCTTGCACAATTTTACATTTAAAAAGTGCTCTCATTCAAAAGCTACTTCAGAAATGGATATTCTTTTTTTGTACAATCTCATCTAAAACATTAAGGAATATTACCATTAATCAAAACTGATTATCTCCATTAACAAGTATTTAACTTGCAAACACCATGGTTCAAAAGACCGAAAAGCTGTTTCAGAGTTCTGGACTTTTCTTTCTTTTATTCTCCTCTATCATCTAGTGTTAGATTTTCAGCAAACATTAAGCGAGCAAAAGAAAACTGTGACCAGCATTTGGTCTTAGGTAAGAATCTAGCAATACATCAGGAGATATCAATCTATTTGCTATATATCCAAACTTTTCAGACCAGCTCCTATACAAAGGGGCTTCCAGTAGAGATTACACTGTTAATGCTCAATCTCTGGTCTGTATAAATTAGCTGGGTAAGAGCAGAGTTTTAAATAGCCATGTGTGTCTGAGCCATGGCACACCTCACTCTCCTAGGAGATATGCAAAAACCTATCCACATCTGTACTCAGGTGCTGAGGAATCACCAGGACATAGGCTAGTCACTTTTTCCATGAAGGAAATACACAGCTTATCCTTTCATTAACACAAATAGGCTCCTGTCCTAACTCTGCTTTAAATCAAATGGTTGGTAGATTATTTCTTAGGCAAGGTCCTTATTAATTCAATGGCTGGATTAGAAGTAAAAATAGCATTCATGAGAAGTACAAAACCTGGATCCATTCCCTAATTTTCAGTATTAGCTAAAAGTCTGAATACTGGTCTAGTTATACTTTATGGCCAAGCAGTCAACAGGGGCCACAACATTACATGTTCCGCCTAAAGTTGCAAATGGCTGTTGAATTGCCCACTTGCTGCTTCCTCTTCAGGCTCACCCAAAGAGTCACACTGTTGACAGTCTCCTACTTGCTTAACACTCTCTCTCCTTTTCTTTTTAATACCTACATGTTTGACTCCTTTCTGTGCATTCCTTCCTCCTTTAACAGAGAACTTCTCCAGGACCCCATTCCCCAGCCTTCTTTTCTCCTTCAACATATATTCTTTGGGGTATCTCATCCCCTCCTGTGACTTTAACTTCCTTCCAAATGTAAATAATCAAAAAACTTGTCCTTGGGTGTTAAATTCATACTTACAAATTATCCTAAGGTGTCTCAAACTTAATGTGATCCAAACTGAGCTCGTCTGTTTCCTACCTACTCTTTTTTCTTATATCCTCTATATCTCAGAAATTAATTTAATCCTTTATTAAAAATTCACATCATAAATTTTCACCCAGAGAACCCATGTTAAAAAACTCAATCCACCGGGACACCTGGGTGGCTCAGTCGGTTAAGCCTCTGCCTTCGGCTCAGGTCATGATTCCAGGGTCCTGGGATCGAGTGCCACATCGGCCTGCTTCTCCCTCTGCCTGCCTCTCTCTCTCTGATTGATAAATAAATAAAATCTTTAAAAAAAAAAAAACCACTCAATCCACCTTCTTCATTTACTCTTTATATGAAATCTGTCACCAAATTCCACCTTGAATGCAATCTCTTGAATTGCCCTTTCCAAGTCTTAGAAATCTGACCTAATTCCTGCTAGCACTACCTACTTTCAAATCCTCTTCTTCAATCTACATTACTAGCTAATTCTACTACCTGACTGGTTTCTCTGATACCAATTCATTCCTGTACCCACTGCCAGAAAAATGCATCTAGTTAGTACTCTGCTAATGCTGGGGGGCACCTGGCTGGCTCAGTGGGTGGAGTGTGTGATTCTTGATCTCTGGGCTGTAAGCTTGAGCCCCACGTTGGGTGTAAAGATTATTTAAAAATAAAATCTAGGGGCGCCTGGGTGGCTCAGTAGGTGAAGCATCTGCCTTCGGATCAGGTCATGATCCCAGGGTACCGGGATGGAGCCCTGCATGGGGGCTCCCTGCTCAGCAGGAAGCCTGCTTCTCCCTCTCCGCCTCTGCCTCCGCCCCTCCCCCCCATGCTCTCACTTGCAGGTTCTGTCTCAATAAATAAATAAATAATCTTAAAAAAAAAAAAAGGAAGAAGAAAAAGAATCCCTGGGGCGCCTGGGTGGCTCAGTCGTTAAGCGTCTGCCTTTGGCTCAGGTCATGATCCCAGGGTCCTGGGATCAAGCCCTTCATTGGGCTCCCTGCTCCGCAGGAGGCCTGCTTCTCCCTCTCCCACTCCCCCTGCTGTGTTCCCTCTCTTGCTGTCTCTCTGTCAATAAATAAAACCTAAAAGGAATCCCTGATACTTACACGACAGGAACCCAGGCTTCTTACTACAACACGCCAGGGCTTTCACAACGTAAGTGCAATTTCATCTCCCACCACTGTATCCAAGCACTAAGACTAGCCACTACACATGCTCACGACATCTTTTACAATTCCTTGTTATACTTTCTCCTAAAGGATTAGAATGCAACTTTTTTTTTTTGAAAAGATTTATTTTAGAGAGCAAGAGTATGTGTGCACATGCACAAGAGCAGGGGGTAGGGGGGAGAGGGAGAGAGAGAATCTCTAGCAGACTCCCAGCTGAGCATGGAGCCAGACCCGGGGCTTGATCTCATGACCCTGAGATCATGGCCTGAGCCGAAATCAAGAGTTGGATGCTTAACCAACTGAGCCACCCAGGCACCCCTGAATGTAAATTTTAAAATTACTTTGCTTGCCCCGAAAGCGAAGTTCTCATACTCTCAGAAGCCTCTGAGATATAGTCTCAAAACTCAACCTTTTCCTCTGTGCTCTATCAGTATTTCAAAACCCAAACTCAAACTATAGGCTAGTAAATGATGAACATTCTTGCAGCTATCCTCAGCAAGGGAGGAGAAGAAGCAGAGCTGAATTGTCACAACAGTATTCTGAGCCAAAGCCCCGAGATTGCTATTAATCTGCTCTGTGATCCCTAACAAATTATAATTTCCCGGATCTTCAACTGCTTCCTTTGCAGAATAAGGAGGTAGTGTCCATAGAGGTTGCTAAGAAATCTCCGTTTACTTGGGGTCTGAGAAGGCTTGGGAATAGGGTTCTGTGAGTATCCTCAGAATAATAATCTGGATAAGAAAACGGAGTGTCTGTGTCAGTTCAAAAAATAGTACTTTTCTTAAATTAAATAAATATGATCCATAATCTTACTACCTAGATGGTCTCTGCAGAAATTCCTCTAGATTAATTAATTAAATCAACAAATAGTTAATTAATGCCTATCATGTGGCAGGCATAATTTTAGAATCAGGGAATACAGTGCCAAGTAAGATAGACAAAATCCCTGCTCAGAGAGGTGATATTATACTCATGGAAGAGAAATAGATGATAAATAAGTATGCAAATAAATGAGTAAGATCATATCAGACAGTGCTAAGAAAATAAAGAAGTAGTATGTTAGTGGTACAGATGAGTTGAGATCATGTGGGCTGGGAAGTCCTCTGAACAGAATACTTGCCATGAGAAAGAGCTCATGAAAGCCATGGCAGGGGGAACAGCAAATGAAGAGGCCCTAACAGAGAAGGGACCTCAAAAAAAAAAAAAAAGGAGATTCTACTTAGATCCTAGTCCATGAAGCAGAGAGTGGTGCAAGGCAAGGTTGTAGAGGCAGGCAGGGAACATTCATAGGTCACAGCAAAGAGGCGATCCAAAGCTATGGGAGAAAAGATAGTTGGGTAATTAAGCAGTAAAGCATGTAGGGTAAGAAAATTCAAAAAGTAGAGGAAAAGGTATAATGAAAAGTAGAAGGCGTCTCCCTCTTCTCAGCCTTAAACTATGTTACAAGCTTTGTGTATCCTTTCAGGAAATATATGTATATTCTTCTAAAAATATCATATACAAGATCACCTATGATGTATTCTAATCAAAAGGTGTAACTCAAATCGATTTTAGGTACAAATCCCAGTTTACAAGAAACACAGGTAAGAAAGGAATAAGCTGAATAGTATAACCAGGAAAATCCAGAAGACTGGGCATTTTACAGAATAACTAGCACGATAGGCTTGTGAAGTCAGGGTCACAGAAGAGGGACTAAGCTAGATTCAAATAAACTCAGAGTACACCTTCTTATTTGTATCCTTGGCATATAGCATCATCTCTGGCCTTCTGAGTAATGAATCGAATCTGCTGGCTCCTGTATTAGGTCATTTACGTACCACAAAAATACATGACTTAAAGACATGTCTGGACAGCTAAAGGAAGCACTGGGATATATGGCTGCAATTACTCAAACTGCAGAAATTACTATTAATTACTTTATGTAGGCATGTCTCAATTACATTAATAATGCAAGTAACTTGATGGATAAGCCTGCTGGTAGATATATAATCCTGTTGCCTCTACCTTCAAACCCAACCCAAGTCTGACCATTCTTCCATGACCTAAATCACGACCACCATCATCATCCTTTCCTTAGACCATGGCAAGAATGTTGTTTCCCTGCTTCTCCTCTTAACCCCTACATTCTGTTTTCCAAACAGCTGCCAAAGCCACACCTTTAAAACATGAATCACATCCTGGTACTCCCCTGTTCCAACTTCTAACACTTTCAACATCCTACCATGGTCTGTGAGAACCCTCCCAACCTTACTCGCCTCCTCCACTCATCCCTCTGCTCACTTGTCTTCAGCCACACTGGTCTTGCTGCTGCCTGATCACGCTGGACTCTTAAGCTTCTTGTTCTTGTTCCTCCTGCCGAGAACCCCTTCCTGCAGATCTTGCCAGGGCTTACTCCCCCATTTTGCCCAGGTCTCTACTCAAAATGCAACTTCCTTAGGGAGACCTTTCTTGACAACGTTTTTTTTTTTTTTAAAGATTTTTTATTTATTTGAGAGAGAGAGAATGAGACAGAGCGAGTACATGAGAGGGGGGAGGGTCAGAGGGAGAAGCAGACCCCCTGCCGAGCAGGGAGCCCGATGCGGGACTCGATCCCGGGACCCCAGGATCATGACCTGAGCCGAAGGCAGTCGCTTAACCAACTGAGCCACCCAGGCGCCCCCATTTTTTTTTTTTAAGTAGGCTTCATGTTCAGCGTGGAGCCTGACGTGGGGCTTGAACTCACGACCCTGAGATCGAGACCTGAGCTGAGATCAAGAGTTGGATGCCTGACTGAGCCACCCAGGCACTCCTCCAGACAACCACTTTTATTTTTTCCTTTTAAAGACTTTATGTTTACTTATTTTAGGGAGAGAGAGAATCCCAAGGAGACTCCACACTGGGCGCAGAGCCCGATGTGGGGCTTGATCTCTCGACCCTGAGATCATGACCTGAGTCAAAATCAAGAGTCAGACGCTCCGGGTGGCCGGGTGGCTCAGATGCTGGGCGTCTGCCTCCGGTCTGACCTGGGGCATGATCCCGGGATCCTGGGATCGAGCCCCACATCGGGCTCCCTGCTCCGTGGGAAGCCTGGTTCTCCCTCTCCCACTCCCCCTGCTTGTGTTCCTTCTCTCGCTGTCAAATAAATTAAAAAAATCTTAAAAAAAAAAAAAAAAAGTGTCAGACGCTCAACCAAATGAGCCATCCAGGCGCCCCTGACAACCACTCTTAAAACAGAACTCCCTACTATTCTGGTACGTGCACCCCGATGTTTATAGCAGCAAAGTCCACAATAGCCAAACTGTGGAAAGAGCCAAGATGTCCATCGACAGATGAATGGATAAAGAAGATGTGGTATATATATATACAATGGAATATTATGCAGCCATCAAAAGGAATGAAATCTTGCCATTTGCAACAATGTGGATGGAACTGGAGAGTGTTATACTGAGCGAAGTAAGTCAATCAGAGAAAGACAGGTATCATATGACCTCACTGATAGGAGGAATTCTTAATCCCAGGAAACAAACTGAGGGTTGCTGGAGTGGTGGGGGGTGGGAGGGATGGGGCGGCTGGGTGATAGACATTGAGGAGGGTATATGCTATGGTGAGCGCTGTGAATTGTGCAAGACTGTTGAATCACAGATCTGTACCTCTGAAACAAATAATACATTATATGTTTAAAAAAAAAAAAAAAAGAAGAAGATAGCAGGAGGGGAAGAATGAAGGGGGGGAATCGGAGCAGGAGATGAAGCATGAGAGACTACAGACTCTGAAAAACAAACTGAGGGTTCTGGAGGGGAGGGGGGTGGGAGGATGGGTTAGCCTGGTGATGGGTATTAAAGAGGGCACGTTCTGCATGGAGCACTGGGTGTTATACACAAACAATGAATCACGGAACACTACATCAAAAACTAATGATGTGATGTATGGTGATTAACATAAAAAAAAAAAGAACTCCCTACTATTCTTATATTTTTATATATAAACACACACACACACACACCCAGAGTATTTATCTGTTTAATGTCTCTTCCACTATAATGTGAGCTCCACAAGGGCTAGAAATTTCATTTTCTTCTCAGAATTTAGAACTGTAGATGGATAGAGCAGGCACTCATATTTTAGAGTGAATGAATAAATGAATATTATGAAGAGATTGAATAAACAGAATGAGCAGAGATAGTGTCTGGGGAAACAAGTTTCTTGTATATCTTTAGCTACTAACTACATATCTTAATTCCTATATATACTAAAAAATAAAAACAAACCTGCAAGCACCCACACCTATACTCTAGAGAGGCAGCACTTCTTCATGAGATGTCAGAGGAATAAGACCAGCTTTTTAAAAAATTAATGAGCTCAGAGATTCTCTTAATACTGGAGATGTCACTGTCCTCACAGAGCCAGCTGAGGACGATGTGGAGCCCTTCCTGGCCAATCCCCCACAGAGCTTGTCCAGCACTTCCTCTGCTCCAAGGCTACCAGGAACCTCTTCCTCCTATTCATGTTTTACCCAATAAAAGACGCTACTAGACTCTAAGTTTCTTAATGGCAGGACCTGTATCTTCTAACCCACCCAGTGAATATGAGTGCACAGAGGCACTAAAAAATTATTTACTGAATGAACTGTGTAGACTTCTTTCAGTCTTTAAACTTTCCTGACCATGTACTTCAGACTTCTTTGACAAAACAGGAAATAAAATCAATTACTTAAATAAACTAATAAGGTGAAGTAGGTAACAGGCCCTTTTTTGGTCTAAATTATTTCAACAATTTTTGCATTTTTTGCTTACTCTGTCAATGTATATCTGACCCAAAAATAGACTGTTCATCAACATAAAGTGGTGTGATTCATTACTCAAACAATAGTTGCATTAAAAAATAAACATAATATGGGGCACCTGGCTGGCTCAGTCAGTAGAGGAGCATGCAACTCCTGATCCTGGGGTCGTGAGTGTGAGCCCATGTAGAGTTTACTTAAAAAAAAAAAAAATTTAAAAATACACATAATAGGAATGCAGTCCTACTAAATTTAATAGGAAGATTAACAATAGCTCTTAATTTTAAACACACTTACCAAAACAGAACATTTTTTTCTCTAAAAAATTTTTTTAAAGATTTCATTTATTTGAGAGAGAGCAAGAGTGCATGCAGACAAGGGGGGGGGAGGGGCAGAAGAAGAGGGAGAAGCAGACTCCCTGCTGAGCAGGGAACCTAACGTGAGGCTTGATGCCAGGACCCTGAGATCATGACCTGAGCCAAAGGCAGATGCTTAACTGACTGAGCCACCCAGGTGCCCCTGGAGTATTTTCTTCTTACAAAAGTTAGTATCTTTTACTCAAGACAATACTGTCAATCCAATCATACTGAAAAATTTCTAGATCCCAAGTGAATGGATCCACATTGGTTTCCAAAATCTTCCTGTGTAACCAACTGTTTGGAAGTTGAGATCAGTCACAAATAACGTTCTTGTCAAAAAAGACGTATATGTTTAACTCTTGCAGTTGACTGAGCACTCTCCTGCTGATTAAACAGAGGATTTGCATTTCAACCTATTAATATTTTCCACGAATATTTCATAATAACTTTTAGCAAATTAGAGGAAATTTAATGAACTAAGGGTCTCAAGATAAACGCTAAGTCCAACCTGGGCTGGGTATTCATCATCTTTAATAGAAAGGTGACGAACATTCTTTCATAAAGATGTGCTTCTGTAATGGTTAAGCAAGTTCACGAACTTTCGTTCAGAAAGACTGTATACAGACACAACCACATGTAGCCCTTGGACTCAGCTGTGATTTAAACACAAGTGAGAGACAAGCAGTTACTTCATAAAATAAACGGTTTAAACCTTAATGATCCTTCACTTAAAGTCAATGACTAATGTGACTGAAGGCTTAACATGGAGTATAAAACACCACAAACCTTTTGATTTCTTTACGTCAGGTTCAGGCTCAGATTCTCGGATGAATTGCCCCAAGTCACTTACTCTTCCAAATGTCATCTTCCTAAATAAGTACAAAAAGAACATAATTTCTAACAACCAATTTTAAATTAAGGAAAGAACCCCCCGCCCCCGGCAAACAAGGAAAGAAAGATTCCATTCTTAAGCATCTCATCTAAATCTAGAAGCTAGAAATACAACGTATAGCTAGCTCATGTTATTCAAAGCAAGGCTTATTTCAAATAGAACTATCCCCAAAGAAGCAAAATAATCTTTAATTCAATGTAATTCCATTCAAAATCCCAAAAAGGTTTATGAAACATGATGGGTGAAGAGGCAGCTCACAATTCTAAAATTTACACAGAAGAGAAAAGGCATAAAATAAAAATAGCCAAGATAATTTTGTAAAAGAGATAAAAAGGTAGGAACCTGCCCAAATCAAAATGTGTACTATAAAGCTAGAATAATTATATACAATAATTAAACATGCTATAAAGCTATAACAATATAAAAAAGTTAAAAGGCAAAGAACACAGTGAAAGATCTTATTTAACAGATATTACTCATCAATAATAAATATTAAAAAACATACAGAATTCCAACAAGTCACTAAGAAATCATACAACAGAAAAACATAAATAGGAGACGAATAGTCAATTCATAAAGAAAAACCTGAACAACCAGCAAAATGCCAAAAGAAGCTTAATCTCATGAGCAGTATAGTCCAGATTGGTAAAAAATCAAACATCTGAGGTTATTTAGTGTCAATAAAGATGTGGGGAAAATTAGTATCTTTATTAATGGGGGGTAAGAATGCAAAATATACAGATACTTTTAAAGGTAAATCGGTAAGACCTATTAAAATTTAAAATCTGCTTCTTCATCTGCCTTCGGCTCAGGTCATGATCCCAGTGTCCTGGGATCGAGCCCCGCATTGGGCTCCCTGCTCCGCGGGAAGCCTGCTTCTCCCTCTCCCACTCCCCCTGCTTGTGTTTCCTCTCTCGCTGTGTCTCTCTCTGTCAAATACATAAAATCTTTAAAAAAATAAATAAATAAAATAAAATAAAATAAAATCTGCTTCTTGGTATAAGTGAATAAAAGGAAGTCTTTTGCTATTCTGTATGTAACAGTGAAAAACTGCAAGCAACTTAAATACTCATCAATACCAAAGGGCCAAACAGTGGTCACGGTTATGAGCTATAATTAATATTATATATAGAATACTACAACATAGTCAAAATGACGTAAATCTTTATAGATTAACAAAGAAAAATCTCCAAAACTCACTGTGAATGAAAGCACAAGATACCGAATAAAGTATGGTATCAATTACACAAATATAAGCAAACAAAAATACATACTGTAACATAACAGTGATTATCCTGAGTAGGAAGGGGAGAGAATAAGCATTGGTGTGTGACCAAAGGGGACATTAGCCTCATCTATCCATTTAATTTTTATAAGAGATTAATGTATTTGTAATTAAAAGTTAAGTAGAAAAAGAAACTCTGTGATGCCTATGTATTATTTCATTCTGGGCACAGTGGGTCTTATTTTAGGGCTATTGTTCCTAGTAAGTCATCATTTCACATGTGGTTGCAATACACCAATGGATACAAATTTGTCTGCCTTGAGAAAAATTTCAGGAAGATGCCAAAACCATAAAGCTAAAACAAACACTGAAAACCATCTTTAAACATTATTTCTCTATTTCTGACCCATTTTCTACAGTATCTGTTAAAATATATTTATTTTACACACACAAAAAACTTACAGAAGTAAAACATTTTGCAACTGACAGACTGTCTTAAGTAAGGTTTTAAGTAAATGAACCAACCATTCCCTAATAAATATAATCTTTGGTAATTAAATCATGTAGGCTTACTGTCCACCATTTCCTAAAAGACGAGCTAAAGATTACAACACTGACTCAGCTGTAGTGTGCTTTTTGAAGACAATGTAGTCAAACAGCCCTTTATTTACTTCTGAGTGCTTTCCAGGATTCCTTGGTCTCCCAAGTATCACTGTTACTTTTTTCTAATTGATTTAAACATGTTGAAATCCCTTTTTCATGGTGATGCCAGGACTGCGGTTGGGGTAGGGTAATTAAGAATTTACACAGGTTTATGGGCTCATCAAGCCATCTTTAGTAAAGAGGAAGTGATTTTATGATTTGATCTGTGGTAAATGCTGGCAAGTGGCATATGCTATGAACTGATGTCTTTTTGTTACAGGATAAAATAAACACCCAATCCTTAAATACAAAGAAATAATTGTATTCCATTTTCAAGTATTAGTTATACAGTCTGTAATAAATGATGCTGGCATCTTTGTACTTTATTTTTATTTTTGATTTTAAGAGAGACTTTGAAATAGCTAACATATGAACCAAATGAAATATGGGAAGAGATATAGCCTAAAACATATCACATACATATGATACTCATCAACCTTGTCTAGTGTGGTGGAATGATGATGGTAATGATATTTATGGAGTGTTTACTAGATACCCGGCATGGTTTTGAATGCTTTTCATGTACCTCATTTAATCCCCTAAACAACCCAATGAAGTGGAGATGAAAACACCGAGACAGAGAAGTTAAGTAGTTTGCCAGTAAGTGGCTGAGCCAAGATTAAAACCGAGGAAGTTGCTCCCGAGCCTCCACTCTCAACTGTGGTCTACTGTATACTATATATAAAAGTGCTGGGTATGTAATAGATTAGAAACAATTTTTAAATTTTATTATTATTTTTTAAATCTTATTTATTTGAGAGAGAGAGAGCACAAGCAGGGGAGCGGCAGAATGAGAGGGAGCAGCAGACTCCCCACTGAGCAGGGAGCCTGATGTGGAACTCGATCCCAGAACCATGAGATCATAACCTGAGCTGAAAACAGATGCCCAACCGACTGAGCCACCCAGGCGTCCCCAATTTTTAAATTTTAAATAAAAACATAAAAGATGCAAAATTCGGTAGACTTGTAAAAATTCCAGACACTAGTTAAACTTACCCTGCGTATGTCCGCTGATACAAAGATTCTGGATCCAGACTCGCAGCATCCACAATTATCGCTTCATCAAAATTTTTCAGAATTTTAACACTGGCTTTTTTCATACTGGACTACAACAGAAATTGTAAAATTAACAGTATGTTATTCGGGAATCAAACAGTCCCAGGTTTGGATTATGACAGATTTTACAAAATCTTCAGTATTTGAAATACATGTAATTCTCACTCAACCCCATCATTATAGAGATGCTAAACAGCAACGATTCTGAAATGTAACCTCAATATACAACTACGGGAAGAAAGCACAGTATTACAATGTATAACATATGCATTTAATGCCAAATCTGTTTCTTTATGATCTAAGTTCCAACAAATGTGCTATCTTCACAGGCATTACATTCCCAAGTGTGCAAGATTCGCATCCACCCAGACATATATAGCTTAGCTACCTTTTACAAATAAACATGAATACTTTTGATTTTCAGTGAGGCTATGCGACAATGGAGAAGCTAAAGAAATCTTTCTAAAATGACCAGCTAGATGAGTGTAGTAAGTTCCCCTCCAGCATGTCATCTCCCACTCCTCATCCCACAAAAAAAGCAAATCAGAATTGGTATTTCTATGAAATACCAGAGCCACGGGTTTTCCCAGATATTCCACCTCTAAAAACTCAATTACAGACAGACTCAGTTCCACAAAATGACTAATAAACAAGATTATTATTCACTGTAGCATTGTTTAAAATAACAAAAGATGGGAACGTCCTTAATATCCATGACTAAGGGGCGCCTGGGTGGCTCAGCTGGTTAAGCGACTGCCTTCGGCTCAGGTCATGATCCTGGAGTCCCGGGATCGAGTTCCGCATTGGGCTCCCTGCTCGGCAGGGAGTCTGCTTCTCCCTCTGACCCTCCCCCCTCTCATGTGCTCTCTTTCTCATTCTCTCTCTCTAATAAACAAATAAAATCTTTAAAAAAAAAAAAATCCATGACTAAGGTATAGGTTAAATTAATAAAATAAAAACTGAATAGACACTTATAGAACACACTCTACAGTGGGGGGTGGGGGGGAGGGGTTCTCTTTATGTGCCAGGAAGGGTAGATAATTAAAAAGAAAGAGGTAGGGGCGCCTGGGTGGCTCAGTCGTTAAGCATCTGCCTTCGGCTCAGGTCATGATCCCAGGGTCCTGGGATCGAGTTCCACGTCGGGCTCCCTGCTCGGCAGGAAGCCTGCTTCTCCCTCTCCCACTCCCCCTGCTTGTGTTCCCTCTGTCGCTGTGTCTCTCTGTCAAATAAATAAATAAAATCTTAAAAAAAAAAAAAAAAAGAAGAAAGAGGCACCAAAATAAAGAAGAGAGAACACTTCTTTGAGGCCACTGTTAACTCAGATACCAAAACTGGACATCATAAGAAAAGAAAACTAAAGGTCAATCTCTTGTGAGTATAGATCCTAATAAAATACCAGCAAACAAGTCTAGCAATATATAAAAATATATATCATGATCAAGTGAGATTTATCCCAGAAATGCAAGGTTGGTTTAACATCTGATAATGGGGCGCCTGGGTGGCTCAGTTGGTTAAGTGACTGCCTTGGGCTCAGGTCATGATCCTGGAGTCCCGGGATCGAGTCCTGCATCGGGCTCCCTGCTCGGCAGGGAGTCTGCTTCTCCCTCTGACCCTCCCCCCTCTCATGTGCTCTCTCTCTCTCTCTCTCACTCTCTCAAATAAATGAATAATCAAATAATGTAGTACAACCGTATCAAAAAGTAAACACCAAAACCCACATGACCATCTCAATTAATACAGAAAGAACATTTGACAAAATCCAACACCCTTTCCTGATCAAAAAAAAAAAAAAAAAAATCCAACAAATTAGAAATAGAGGGAAATTTCCTCAACTTGATAAAAAGCATTTATGAAAAACCCATACCTAACATTATATTAAAAGATGAAAAACTGAAAACTTTCCTCATGAGGTCAGGAATAAAACAAAGATGCCCACTTTCATCACTTCCATTCAACAATGTACTGCAAGTTTAAGCCACGGCAATTAGGCAAGACAAGGAAATAAAAGGTACATTCAATGTAGACAGGTAGAAAGAAAACTATTTCTATTAACCGATGACACAATCTCATATATAGAAAATCCTAAAGAATCTGTAAGAAAGGAGCGCCTGGGTGGCTCAGTTGGTTAAGCTTCTGCCTTTGGCTCAGGTCATGGTCCCAGGGTCCTGGGATTGGGTCCTGCATCGGGCTCCCTGCTCAGCGGGGAAGTCTGCTTCTCCCACTGCCTCTTCCCCTTGGCTTGTGCTCTCTCTCTCATTCACTCTCTTTCTCTCAAATAAATTAAAAAAAAAAAAAAAAAAAGTATCCAAAAGAAAACTATTAGAGTTAACAAAAGAATTTAGTAAAGTTACAAGGTACAAGATCAACACAAAAAGTTTATTTCCATGCATTACCAATGAATAAGAAAATGAAATTAAGAAAATAATTTTATTTATAATAACATCAAAAAGAATATTCAGGACAAAAATGACGCCAGGACATATAAGACTTGTACACTGTAACCTACAAAACAGTGATGAAAGAAATTAAAGACAGCTTAAATAATGGGATGACATCCCATGTTCAGGCTGGAAAAAGACTTAATATTGTTAAAATGGCAATACATCCCAAAGGAATCTACAGATTCAATGTAAACCCAATCCTAGAATTCTTATGGAATTGCAAGGGACCCAGAGTAGCCAAAATAATCTTACAAATTGAAAAACACAAAGTTGGAGGACACACAGTTCCTGATTTCAAAACTTGCAAAGCTGTAGTAATCAAAACAATGTAGTATTGGCATAAGATACACGTAGATCAACATAGAACTGAGTGTCCAGAAATAAACCGGTGTATCTAAGGGCAAATGATTTTTGACAAAGATGCCAAGATCATTCAATTTACGTAAAAGAATAGTTTTGTCAATAAATGGTCCTGGGACAACTAGATATCCACATGCAAAAAATAAAGTTGGCCCTTATCTCATACAACATGCAAAACTAACTCAAAATGGATCAAAGGCCTAAAATTCTTAGAAGAAAACAGGTGGGCATGGGGAGTGACTGCTTAATGTTCCATTTGCGAGGTTTCCATTTGGGGTGATGAAAAAGTCTGGAACCAGTTAGTGGTAATGGTTGCACAACACTGTGAATATACTAAATGTCACTGAATTAGACACTTATCACAGCTAACTTTATGTTAGGTGAATTTTACCACAATTATAAAAAATTGTATTTCTATACGTTTACAATGAAAATATGAGCGTAAGAAAAAAATTCCATTTATAATAGTATAAAAAAGAATAAAATACTTAGAACAAACTTAAGAAATACATAACTGATACTTGAAAACTACAAAATGTTATTGGAAGAAATTAAAGAAGATCTGAATAAATGAAAGGCATCAACTATGTTCATGGGTCAGAATATTTAATATTGTTAAGATGGCAATTCATCCCAAATTGATCTATGGAACCAATGCACTCCCTATCAGAATCCTGGCTGGAGTCTTCATAGAAGTTGACAAACTGATCCTTAAATGCATTTGAAAACTCTAGGGACCTCGAATAGTCAAAACAATCTTGAAAAAGAAGAACTAAGTTGGAAGACTCTCCCTTCCTTCCTGATTTCAAAACTTGTTACCCAAGCAAAGGTAACTAAGACAGAGTTAAACAGTTATCATTTTGGCTAATAATTCTAATTCTAGGTATATACACAAGAGAAATGAAAACCTATATCCACACAAAAACTTGTACAGCAGCATTATTCATAATAACCAAAAGAGAGAAACAACCCAAATGTCCATCAACTGATGGATTAACAAAATGTGGTGTGTACAATGGAATATTATTTGGCCATAAAAAAGAATAAAGTTGTGGGGTGCCTGGGTCACTCAGTCAGTTGAGCGTTGGACTCTTTTTTTTTTTTTTAGATACAGTGAGAGAGGGAACACAAGCAGGGGGAGTGGGAGAGAAAGAAGCAGGCTTCCAGCGGAGGAAGGAGCTCGAGGTGGGGCTTGATGCCTGGATCCTGGGATCATGACCCAAGCCGAAGGCAGATGCTTAACGACTGAGCCACCCAGGTACTCCCTGAGCGTCAGACTCTTGATTTTGGCTCAGGTCATGATCTCAGGATCCTGGGACCGGGCCTAGCGTCAAGCTCCCTGCTCAGCAGGGAGTCTGCTTCTCCCTCTCCCTCTGCCCCACCCCTGGCTCATGCTGTCTCTCTCTCTAAAATAAATATATTTTTTTTAAACCAACAACAAAAACAAACAAAAAAAGGAATAAAGTTCTGATACATGCTACACATGGATGAACCTTGAAAATAGCATGCTAAGTGAAAGCCTGTCTCGAAACCACACATCATATGGTTCCAATTATATGAAATGTCCAGAATAGGCAAATCTATAGACAGAAAATAGATTGGTAGTAGCCTAGGGCTGGAAGAATTGGAAGATTTGGACACAGGTTAGTTAATTAGTTAAAGGACACAGGGTTTCTTTCTTAGGTGAAAAACTTTTTAAATTGGCTGTGGTGACAGTTAAGGAACTCTATGAATATACTAAAACCACTAAATTATACAACATAAATGGGGGAATTGTATGGTATGTGAATTGTATCTCAATAAAGCTGTACCAAAAAAAGAAAGAAAGAAAAAAGAGCATATACAGAATGATTTCAATTATATAACTATTCTGAATAGGTAATACTAACCTATACCATCAAAAGTCAGGATAGTAGCTATCCTGGCAGGGAGGACAGTGACTAGAAGAGGGCACAAGAGGGTTTATGACATACTGGTAATGTTGTGTTTTTTGATCTGAATGTTACACAGATCAAGTCTGTTTATGAAAATTCTTCAAGCTACATATGATATATTGAGTTTTCCGTATATATATTAAACTTCAACCGAAAATGTAAAAATATGTTTTAAGGTCAGCACCTAGACCTTTTATTTATTTATTTTTTTTTAAGATTTTATTTATTTGAGAGAGAGACAATGAGAGACAGAGAGCATGAGAGGGAGGAGGGTCAGAGGGAGAAGCAGACTCCCTGCTAAGCAGGGAGCCTGATGTGGGACTCGATCCCGGGACTCCAGGATCATGACCTGAGCCAAAGGCAGTCGCTTAACCAACTGAGCCACCCAGGCGCCCCATCACCTAGACCTTTTAAGTGCTTAAATAACAACAAAACATTCTAGCCTATATCAAAAAACAAAATGGCAACCGCTTTCAGCAGGTCATTTGCCACATAAGCTAAATAGGAGGAAAACGTACTGAGGAGAGCCTTGTTAATGGTAATAAATAGTACTGTCGTATAAATTAAGAAAATTTATCCAAGGCCCTGTGTCAAAAAATCTGAAGTATTATTTATGTGTCAACAGTGTGATGAGAAAATAATTATGCTACATTATGGTAGCAGGGAGCCCAATGGGGGACTTGATCCCAGGACCCCGGGACCATGACCCGAGCCGAAGGCAGGCGCTTAACAACTGAGCCACCCAGGCGCCCCAAAATTAGTTAACTTAATACCTTCCTAGATCTCTTCTCTCGGGGACAACCCATTTAAATGACCCAATTTGGGGGAGAATCAGATAAGGTTTGATACATGAAAGCACTCCAAAAAACCAAGTAAGATTAAGGAAATATACAATGGCACTACAGTTCAAAATGAAACCAAAAACTCTTTGGTGAAATACAATATTAAGAAAGAATTGTTTTTTTTTAAAGATTTTATTTATTTATTTGACAGAGAGACACAGCGAGAGAGGAAGCACAAGCAGGGGGAGTGGGAGAGGGAGAAGCAGGCTTCCCACTGAGCAGGGAGCTCGATGAGGGGCTCGATCCCAGGACCCTGGGATCATGACCTGAGCCAAAGGCAGACGCTTAACGACTGAGCCACCCAGGCGCCCCAAGAAAGAATTGTTAAGAATTAACAATTAACAAGAGCATCCGACTCTGGGTTTCAGCTCAGGTCATGACCTCAGGGAAGTGAGATCAAGCCTGCTGCCCTCGGTGTGGAGTCTGCTTGCGGTTCTCTCTCCCTCTCTGTCTCACTCTGTCCCTCCCACTCATGTTCAGGCGGTCTTTCTCTCTCTCTAAAATAAAGAAATAAATCTTAAAAAAAAAAAAAAATTATTCTATAAAAAAGCATCCCAAATGTATTTACTAAAATTTCCCAAATAATTACACAAAGAGCTCTTCAGAGGCTATAAATGCATGTGGCATAATTGATGACTGATACCAGCAGCTGGAGTGTGAGGCAGAAAAATGGCCTGAAACAGCACAATACCTTACAATATAATATACTGTTCACTACAGATATTCTTATTAAAACATATAGTAACTAGGCTAATTGTATTTTCTTCTTTGTTTCTTCTACAACAAAAACTCCAAACAGAATCTGCTATTGGTATTTGAAGGACATGATCTGTAACCCTTTCTTCCAATTGGCAGAGGCTAACCGATTAATACCTGAGCAGCCGAGCTGTCGGAACCACCTGGGTGAGAGTCATCAGGAGGGCCGACAGAGCCATGAGCAGTCAGTGAAACAGTTCCTCCCAGAAACTCATCTCCTCGAACCGAATGGATGAGATCATTCAAATACTTATAATAAAGATTGCTGGACAAGAAGCCAGGCAAAAAGACCTGAAAGAGAGGACAAGCATTATTTTAAAGGTGAGATCAAATACAATTAAAACTTTATTTGAAAACAAAATTTTATGCACAATTCTACCAGCTAGCACAAATGATTTTGCTTTTCCTTGTTATACTCCAAGTATTACCCCTTCGTGTACAGTTCACGTTGTGACTAAAATTATGAGTACAATTTATAGGTGTGTGTCCCCCCCCACCAATGCCTGCCATAAAACTATTACATAGACTTGATATTCAGACTTCTTAGTGACCAGAAAACATGCAGGGAGTGAATCTAATCTGAAATTAGATTTTTCTGGTTATAAATATTAAAGTCTTTGTGCATATATTAATTTTTTTTTACTTTGAACTGATTTCCTTAAGATAAATTACCAGGTGTGTGATTATTCAGTTAAACGGTGTGAACGTTTTAGCTTTGATATATATGGCCAATTTACTCTTCAGAAGGATGTTGTCAAATTTGTATCATTCGCAGTATACTAAGGTCTCTGTTTTGACACAGGCTTTCCAACACCTGAGTGTGTTTTTCCAAATCATTAAGTAAGTGCCTAAAGGGGCGCCTGGGTGGCTCAGTTGGTTAAGTGACTGCCTTCGGCTCAGGTCATGATCCTGGAGTCCCGGCATCAAGTCCCGCATCGGGCTCCCTGCTTGGCAGGGAGTCTGCTTCTCCCTCTGATCCTCTCCTCTGTCATGCTCTCTTTCTCTCTCATTCTCTCTCTCAATAAAATCTTTTTTAAAAAGTGCCTAATGATATATGGATGTTTTTATTTCCATTTAAAAATTATTAATGATGCCGAATAAGTTCCCATGTTTGTTACCGGCATTTCCTATTACCAACTTTTACTTCACAGCAGTTAACACATGACTGTAACTAGTATGTGTTAAACATGTGCCTTCTTTACAGACAGAGCTCCAGGAAGGCAGGAACCACATTTCTCCTGATTACCACTAAAACACCAATACCTAGCACAGAAATTCTCTACTGATCATCCATGTCTTTTTCTCATTCATCTACTCGATATATTAAAATTAGTGTTAAGTTCTTTACATATACACATTTTATAAGAAAAGAAATATTAACACTGTTTTTCTCTGTATTTTCATTTTCTTTTTTATCCAGCAAGTTTACATTCTTTATATGATACAGATTTGGAACTTTACCTAATTTAAGATCAGAAAGATTTTAATTTTAATCATGAAGAACTCTTTATCCCTGGGCAATAGCTGATACTCTATTCAGCTTACCATGAGCTTTTTTTAATGACTTGATTTTTATATGTAACTCTTCCATGTTCCTGAAATTCAGTTCTCATGTGGGGTATTATTTAACAGTGCTTACTTAACCCTTTTCCACCTAGAAACACAGGATATATATAAACGACATAAACTCATGACTTATCCTGCGCTCTGTGCAATTCCTGGTAAAATCTGCTCTAGTTCATTAGAAGAATAAATCATTCACAAATTCTAACACATTATTATTAATAAGCTATTAGTGATACCCCAGAAGTTACGATACACAAAACTAGTGTTCTAACCCCATTGATAGATATTGATGAAATGTTTGGATCATTTTAAGCTAACTTTGCCCAATACTGCTATCTAATTATTTTTGAAAATTTAATAATAACAGTGGTAATAACTGCCGTTAAAATTTTTTAATGCTTACTATGTGCTGGATGCAATGCTGATCATAAGAACTTTATACATCTTACCTCATTTTTATCTTTAAAATAACTTTTAGGTAAGTATCCATATTATCTCCATTTTACAGATGTGGAAAATGGCATTAAAGAATTTCAGTAGGTGCCTGAGGTCATTCAGCCTATAAAGGCTAAATTAATACATACCAAGTCAGACTCAAAGCCTCTGCTCTTAATCACTATGCTCCATTGCTTCAATTTTCCAGTTTTGTTACATTTGTTTTTCTCCCGTGTTTTCTGGGTTTCACCAGTAAAAACTTCTTGCAGTTTAATATTTTTGAAGTTCTTGGTTACCTTCTCCATGGTCGTCCAGGCCTGACGTAATGGAGTTGTGAAACAGTTAGGGAGTGGCCCACCTTCCCTGCAGATATTGGATTCAATTTCTAATCGCACAACATCATCAAATCCAAGAGGATGTGTGGCTTGGAGGGAGAAGTACCTATGGTAACAAGACAGCCCAAGTCAAACCAAACCTCCTAGCCTGTATAAGCAACTTTGGCACCTACTCTTCTACGAGGCTACTTGATTCAGCCTGCAGATCTAGGACTTGAGAGCCGGCTCCTAGAGGCCATGCTGCAACCTTTATTCCCACAGCCCCAAAGGTATCTGAGTCAACTTGCTACCTTCCTATCTCCTTCCATCTTCCTTAGTTCTTAAGATTGCTGAGGGTCAGGCTACAACTGAGACAAATCAATCAATCACACATTTTTTTTTTTTAAAGATTTTATTTATTTATTTGATAGAGAGAGAGAGCGAGAGCAGGAACACAAGCAGGGGGAGTGGGAGATGGAGAAGCAGACTTCCCGCGGAGCAGGGAGCCTGATGTGGGGCTCGATCCCAGGACCCTGGGATCATGACCTGAGCCGAAGGCAGACACTTAACGAATGAGCCACCCAGGCGCCCCAATCAATCACACATATTTAATGGGCACCTATTCTCTGTTCAGCACTTGCGAAACAGAAATGGACTTAAAAGAGGGTAAGACACAGTTCTTTCTCCTGGAAAGGGAGCAGAAAAGATCCCTGTATCAGACACAATGAGAACACACCGCTGTAACTATGGGGCATAGGTAATATTGATGCAGGAACTGAAACCACAATAGCACCGAGGGTGAAGCAGATGGATTTCATGTATTTGGACAGAATAATAGGACTTGGTGAAGACTGGATGTAGAAAGGAAAAGGAGTAATCAATGCTACCTCAAAGATTTCTAACTTCATAAGCTATAATGCAAAACTAGTGGTTTGGCAAGCTGATTATAAAGTGGATACCAAAAAAAGGAAGATTAAGAGCAGAAAATCTATGTATGTTCTCTTCCAAGCATTCTAGGGACTTCTAAATCTTGTCTATGATACAAATACAGAAAGACTGATTAGGTATGACTGTGATGATACATACATAACATACATAAGATATAAAAACAAACAGGGATGGGGGGGCCTGGGTGGCTCAGTCGGTTGAGCGTCCAACTCTTGATTTCAGCTCAGGTCCTGATCTCAGGGTCGTGGGATGGAACCCTGTGTTGGGCTCCGTGTTCAGCGGGGAATCTGCTTGAGATCCTCGATTCTCTCCCTCTCCCTCTCCCTCTGCCCCTCCCCTGCCTCATGTGCTCATTCTCTCTCAAATAAATAAATAAATCTTTTAAAAAAAACTCAAAACTGGCATCGGTGAAGTCAAATTTGGCACAGTGAACTTGACAAAATAACAGTGCCAGTGGGATGCTATACAGTGATCTTCATCTTAAAAATGGCTCCCAATGCGAAAATGGGATCCAGTGAGACAACAGGGTCTCTGCTCTGTGTGGCAACTGAGCTCCAGCCAGGACCTTACTACCAGTGCCACTCTTCTGTTCTAGCATTAAAATAAAAAAATTATTTTTCTGTTATTAGACTTTTCTTAACAAATAGTCTCCCATCTTGTAACAAATAAGTTGGTAAATACTCCTCCATGATTGGAATTTTGGGGCACCCCAGACCAAATTTCTAAATGTAAACACTTGCTATTTCAACATCCATGTAACAATGTTTCTTATATAATATTTTCCACAAATACATTATACTAAAATAAACACTGGGCAAACATTAAGAATTGCATTCCAGCTCAAGTTCTGCCACTAACTTGCCCCGTGACTTTGAGAGAAAGGGTCTTTGTTTTCTGTTCTGCAAAATGGGAAAATCAGACTAGATCCTGAATCTGGCTACCCATCAGCATCATTTGGGGTATCTTCTAAAAATAAAGATTCCTGGGTCATGCCTCAAATGTGCTGAATCAGAATCTCTTAGAGCGGAGGGCTGGAAACCTATTTTTAACAAGCTCCCAGCTGGTTCTTACGCAGACAGCCCAGCACGGACCTGCAGAGCAATGCTCAGGAACCACTGACCCAGATGCACTCAGCTCTCTTGCAACCCTAACTAACATCCTAAGAATTTTCCTCTACTGTCAAGTTATCTTCTCAGTGGTTGCTTGTGGATACAAATTGCACATTACTTTTCTTTACAGAATAAGAAAAATTAAATGAAAATTAAAAGAGTGGCAACAGTTGGCCATAGGCTTATCACTCAACTGACCAGATGTTTTCAGTTCTGTTCACTGTAAGATTTTGCCATCCTCTCATTTTCAATGAAGACCAATGAAAAACTATTATTCATTGAGTATTAATTTGGCCGTGCAGATCTGCACCAGAAATATGATACACCCATACACAGATATCTAAGACCCTTTCCAATATATTCCCTTTAGTTTCTTCTTCCTCTTACATTCCCCACCCAAGTTTTACTTACCCAAACTCAAGTTTCCTGAAAGTGCCACATTCCCCTAAGTCTCTCTGATTTGCTTCTGTCAATGCCTCTGCCTAGAATGTTCCTTCCCGCCTTCTCTGGCTAGCAAAATTCATATTCAGGATCCAATTCAAATCTTTCTTCTGTGAAACCCTCCCTGAACGCCACTGTCATCCTTCTTGCCACACACAAATCTCCCGTTCCCCTAGCAGAAACGTTTGTTCTAGGAATCCTAAAACCTTATACACACCATATGAAAAGCGGCTTTTATGCTACTCCCTGTGAGCTCCTTGACAGCAAAGACTGGATTTGTTCATCTTTATTTCCGAAATACATATCAAATACTCAATTAACATTTGCCAGATGCTGAATACATCAATAAAACTCACTTGTCATACAAAATCATGGCATCGTTCTGTGCCTCCTGTCCATCATACTGGCCCTTTTTGGCAGCAAGTTGAGACTGGAAGTTATCTGCTGCCAACCAGAACTGTAAGATATTCACTGCATCCTCTTTTTCCATGTACTAGGAAGGAAAAATACAAAAAAAAGAAAAAAAGACTATAAACATATTTCTCTAACCATCTCTAATCCATAAGCCCATCCATTAAAAATATAAGACATACACAAAAAACAAAAATAAAAACAGATCCACTTGTTCAGTTCATGCCAGTCAGCAACTCACAGTTGCTTTTGAGACTGAAAAGTTGAAAGCCATTCTTGTAGGGGAAAAAAACAAACTAACAAAAACCCCACCACACTGCTGGATACAAACTTAAGTGAACTGGAATAAGAATCACAGTAAAGATGATTAGTGGTCCCTCAGCAGCTAACATACAAAAAGTAAACTAACCAGACCAAATCTTTTATACCTCATCATTTCCATCACTCCATGCAGCCTCAGTAACCTGAACAAATGCGGACTTACACTTACAAAGAGAGGGAGTGAGAAAGTAAATCAACCGAAAGCTCTATTCTTGGGAGAGGCAGAGTGCAAGTGTGTATCTAAGTTAATGCTTTGTGACCCTGGAAATCCTCCCCTCTCTACTTAATAGTCATTTGCTTTGCAACAGAAGAATTTCATTTGCCCAAACCTAACAAATACCATTATACTAAACTGTACACCTCAAAGAAATTAATCTATTCATTGCTTGAGAAATCCTATCGAGTGGCTAAAGTAAAAGTGATGATAGCAAGAAAAAATTTACTCCTTTTCTTCCTCTCTTTTGAAGCCTGGTCTGCAAATATGTGTGCACTGGAATCAAGTATCAAATCTGTGGTTTTAAAATGGCTCCAGATAATTAAAAATATGCAGTCTCTTATAAGCAGAAGTTTGATTAAGTTTTTCAAAATTAGAGTTATTTTACACTGAATTTTCACATTCTCTTTAATCTAATATGCCATTAAAGTACTCTTGCCATTAGGTGTACAACATAAAAAAATTACTTCATTCCAACTGATCTTTTCGGAAATGATTTGGCTCTTCCATGTTATTTTCTATAGAGGGGGCCCCAGCATTTCTAGTTTAGAGGCTGGAATGCTCTAACAGAGTGTGAAAGGAAATGCAGACTTTACCTCAGAGAAATAAAAGAGGGCTGACTCACAGAAGAGAATGTCAGCCAGGTAAACAGTTCCACTGGTCAGCACTTCAATCTGGTATTTACAGAAATGGTGACTTCGCAGAAACTCACTAAAGTGCCTGCACATGGACAAAAAGGGAAAATTTGAGGGAATGACCAAGGAAAGAGCTTAACTGGGAAAAATATACTCTTTCCATTCTGTGCCTACTGTATCTTAAAAGCCTTGGTCCACACTACCTCCCTTCCCATGCTGTCCTTCCTGGTTCCTACGCCTGGAAGTAATCTCTCCCGCCTCTTAGAAACTTTGTAGCTTTCCTCTGAGATGTGACACATGCTACCTCATATTACATGTAACCAAAGAACATACCCTATTTCTCTTAATAGGCTGTAACTTCCTTCAAAGCAGGTACTGTATCTAACTATGCCCTACACAGAGCACCCTTTTCATAAATACTAAATGAATCAATATGCAGATTTTTCCCTTAAAGGACATGCACCAGTAATTAATTTAAAAACAAACAAACAAACAAACAAACAAAAACTTTGGAGACCGTTTCAACAAATCTACGTGGATTTAGTAATACAGCATCCATTAAGCTTAAAGTGTGCACTAACAAATTAGGATCTCTACATGAACACATGCATTGCTTAAATAAATAAATTCTAATAGTCAAACTGTAGTTACAATCACCCCCAAATGACTTCAGAATTTTAAAAACTTCTTTTAACTTAGGAAATATTAACATTAAAAACAAACGTGTTTTATTTTTAAGAGTTCACATAATTTATATTTAAAAGACACTATGAACCAGGTAGTCTTAGATATGCCTATAAGATGTAAACATTCAAAATACTTAAGTCCTGAAAAATTGTTTGTTTGTAGTTGAGTGAACCCAAATCCCAAAACCCAAAATGTGAAAGTTTGAAATTAACTTACTCTTGCTCCATGGCACTAAAGACTATGGACTGTGCCAAAACAAAACAGTTGGGATCCACCTGTCCATCTTCTCCACAAATCTTTGCTATAAAAGAAATGGTAAATAAATTCCTACTAAATCCAAATCATACATCTTTGTGAATCAGAGTAGGAAATAAATGGAGAGGTATAGAAATCAGAAAGTTTTAAATGGAGCTAAGAAAAATACAAGTGAACATATAATCTTGAGGTAGGAAAAGTCTTTCTAAGGACATATATAAAAGCAGAAATCAAAAGATTCAACAGCATAAAATTAATTTCTACACATTAACATACCCACAAAACAAAATTAAAAAGGAAGACTGGGGGAAAAAATTTGCAGCACCAATGACAGTGTACCCTGTATGTGATAGATTATTATCATTCATATATCAAGAGCTCCTACAAACTAGTAAGAAATGTCCCCAAAGAAAAATGAGCAAAGGACATGAACAGATAGTCTGCGAAAGAACAAATATAGGGGTGCCTGGCTGGCTCAGTCAGAAGAGGATGCTCACTCGGGGTTGTGAGTTTGAGCCCCATGCTGGGTGTAGAGATTACTTAAAAAAATTAAGTAAACTTAAAAAAGAATAAATATAAAATGGCCAATATGAAAAGATATACACGCTCACTAGCAATCAAATAAATAGAACCACAAGTTAGAATAAGGAGACACCCTACCTTTTGTCTAGTAAATTGGCACAAATTGTTCTAACAATGCATATGTTTAATTGTTTAACACCGCACTGCTTTGCTTGGGCAAGGACATGGGAAAACCGACACTAGTGTCAGTGAGAATAGACGTATATTCTTTTCTGGAGAGCATTTTGGTACTTTATAGCATAAGCTTTAAAAATAAATATGCCTGTTCAATCAGCAATTCTATTTCTAAGATTGCAACCTAAAGAGTTATGATCTGTAAAAAGGCTTATCTGTGAAAAAGTTTACCAAAATGTTATTTGGTAGAAACATGAAATGTGCAAAAATTAGGAATTACCTAAGTAAACTGCAGCAAATCAGTAAGCTGTTTAGCCAGCTATTAAGTACGGCTGGGAAAAAACCATTCACCCACGATGGCTGGTTTCACTTTAAGTTCACGACCTTAGTGGGACCTTATTGAAACCCAAGGATCTTACTATAGTTTCTTGGTCCATTTACTCTCGTACTCTGCCAGACAACACACAACGCAACATTTCCTCTCTTTGAACACCTTAATGCCTCTTCTACTCTCTGCTGATGACTTTGCTTCCTACTTCATTAAGAAAATAGAAGCAATCAGAAATTTATTTCCATCACTTCCCACCACATCTGCCTCATACTCACCAGCTGTAGTCTGTGCTATACATATATACTTGTTTGTATGCCATACCTTATATGCTTATAACACATCACCACAAAAACAAAACAAAAACCACTGTCCCTTGACTTCACATCCCCTTCCAGCTCATCTTTAGAGCAAAATGCCTCGTAAGAGTTGCTCATACCTGCTGTCTCCACTCCGCCTCCCGTTCTAAGACTCCTCTGGTTAAGTTTCTGTCTCCGGAGATCCAATGAAATTAAGATAACCGATGGACTAGTTGTCCACAAGGTTGGCAAGTCCATTCCATTCCTAGTATTCATCTTATTTAACTTCTCAGCAGTATTTAACACACCTCTGATCACTCCCTGACTCCCAGAAACACTTTTTCTTTGGCTTCCAGAAAGAACTACTCTCCTGAGACAGGGTTCATATAGCAGAGCCAACTTTACGGGCTGCTACTCCTAAGTCTCCTTTGCTGGTTCTCCCTTGCTGGTTCTCCCTCACCCACCCACCAGACTTGTGAATGTTAAGCCTGCCCCAAGACACAGTCCTTAGACCTCTAGTCTTCACTCACCATACTCACTCTGAAGATAATGTTATCCATGGCTCTAAACCCATCTATATGCTGATGACTTCAAAACATATCTCCAACCAAAGCCTCTCTCATCAACTCCTAGCACAGATATCCAACTGCATACTTGACATTCACCATTTGGGTGCCTACAAACCCCAACTCCTGATTTTTCCCTTAAGCTATTACTCCTATGATCTTCTTGATCTTATAAATGGCAATTTCACTCTCCCAGTTACTCAGGTTTTCAAAAAAAATGAAGTCATGCTTGGTTCCTTTTTCCCTCACACCACTCACTTTCAAACTATCAGCAAACACTATCAGCTGTACCTTCGAAATATTTTTAACATTCTACCACTTCAAGGATTTGCAGAAGATGAAGGAGGCAGTGGAAGCATAGTTTTTGGGTTATTCTGAATCTCCATATAAAAAGGAAGTAATTAGACAGCAACACCCAAAACCCATGGATAACATTTACAACAAAACTAGGCAGGTGGGATACACAGTAACAGCTCAAGTGCAGACTTCTTCCAGCTGTCATGTATTTGAAGTACAGCTGTATTAGAATATTCCAACTGAAAGAGGAGGATACTGGGTAGGATTAAGAAGAATGAGGCTCAAAGAGGTAAAATGACTGGTCTAAAAACATACAGGTAATTAACATTTTAACTTTCTCAGATCCCTTAATCACTAAATGTTATCAACTTATACTTCCTAAGATTTTTTTCCCCTCAGGGGATTGTATCATTAATTTGATAAAGTTTAAGAAAAGGAAAAAAAGAACTGAAGTGATATTTCTTCTTTTTCTTTTTGTTTTAGATTTTATTTGTCAGAGAGAGAAAAAGACAGAGAGAGCGCACAAGCAGGGGGAGCAGTAGGCTCCCCGCTGAGCAGGGAGCCCAACGTGGGGCTTGATCCCAGGACCCTGGGATCATGACCTGAGCCGAAGGCAGACGCACAACTGACTGAACCACCAGGTGACCCCTGATATTTTTTTTTTTAATTTTTTTATTGTTAAGTTAATCCCCATACATTACATCATTAGTTTTAGATATACTGTTCCATGATTCATTGTTTGTGCATATCACCCAGTGCTCCATGTAGAACGTGCCCTCCTCAATACCCATCACCAGGCTAACCCATCCTGCCACCCCCCTCCCCTCTAGAACCCTCAGTTTGTTCCTCAGAGTCCATCGTCTCTCATGGTTCATCTCCCCCTCCGATTTACCCCCTTCATTCTTCCCCTCCTGCTATCTTTTTTTTTTTTCTTCTTAACATATATTGCATTCTTTGTTTCAGAGGTACAGATCTGAGATTCAACAGTCTTGCACAATTCACAGCGCTTAGCAGAGCACATAACCTCCCCAGTATCTATCACCCAGCCACTCCATCCCTCCCACCCCCCACCACTCCAGCAACCCTCAGTTTGTTTCCTGAGATTAAGAATTCCTCATATCAGTGAGGTCATATGATACATGTCTTTCTCTCTTTGACTTATTTCGCTCAGAATAACACCCTCCAGTTCCATCCACGTCATTGCAAATGGCAAGACCTCATTCCTTTTGATGGCTGCATAATATTCCATTGTATATATATACCACCTCTTCTTTATCCATTCATCTGTCAATGGACATCTTGGCTCTTTCCACAGTTTGGCTATTGTGGACATTGCTGCTATAAACATCGGGGTGCACGTACCCTTTCGGATCCCTCCTTTTATATCTTTGGGGTAAATAGCCAGTAGTGCAATTGCTGGGTCATACGGTAGCTCTATTTTCAACTGTTTGAGGAACCTCCATACTGTTTTCCAGAGTGGCTGCACCAGCTTGCATTCCCACCAACAGTGTAGGAGGGTTCCCCTTTCTCCGCATCCCTGCCAACATCTGTCATTTCCTGACTTGTTAATTTTAGCCATTCTGACTGGTGTGAGGTGGTATCTCATTGAGGTTTTGATTTGGATTTCCCTGATGCCAAGCGATATTGAGCACTTTTGCATGTGTCTGTTGGCCATTTGGATATCTTCTTTGGAAAACTGTCTGTTCATGTCTTCTGCCCATTTCTTGTTTGGATTGTTTGTTCTTTGGGTGTTGAGTTTGATAAGTTCTTTATAGATTTTGGATACTAGCCCTTTATCTGATATGTCATTTGCAAATATCTTCTCCCATTCTGTCGGTTCTCTTTTGGTTTTGTTGACTGTTTCCTTTGCTTTGCAAAAGCTTTTCATCTTGATGAAGTCCCAGTAGTTCATTTTTGCCCTTGCTTCCCTTCCTTTGGCAATGTTTCTAGGAAGAAGTTGCTGCGGCTGAGGTCGAAGAGGTTGCTGCCTGTGTTCTCCTTTAGGATTTTGATGGACTCCTGTCTCACATTGAGGTCTTTCAACCATTTGGAGTTTATTTTTGTGTGTGGTGTAAGGAAATGGTCCAGTTTCATTCTTCTGCATATGGCTGTCCAGTTTTCCCAACACCATTTGTTGAAGAGACTGTCTTTTTTCCATTGGACATTCTTTCCTGCTTTGTCAAAGATTAGTTGACCATAGAGTTGAGGGTCCATTTCTGGGCTCTCTATTCTGTTCCATTGATCTATGTGTCTGTTTTTGTACCAGTACCATACTGTCTTGATGATGACAGCTTTGTAATAGAGCTGGAAGTCTGGAATTACGATGCCGCCAGCTTTGCTTTTCTTTTTCAACATTCCTCTGGCTATTCGGGGTCTTTTCTGGTTCCATACAAATTTTAGGATTATTTGTTCCATTTCCTTGAAAAAAGTGGATGGTATTTTGATGGGGATTGCATTGAATGTGTAGATTGCTCTAGGTAGCATTGACATCTTCACAATATTTGTTCTTCCAGTCCATGAGCATGGAACGTTTTTCCATTTCTTTGTGTCTTCCTCAATTTCTTTCATGAGTACTTTATACTTTTCTGAGTACAGATCCTTTGCCTCTTTGGTTAGATTTATTCCTAGGTATCTTATGCTTTTCGGTGCAATTGTAAATGGGATCGACTCCTTAATTTCTCTTTCTTCTGTCTTGTTGGTGGTGTATAGGAATGCCACTGACTTCTGTGCATTGATTTTATATCCTGCCACTTGACTGAATTCCTGTATGAGTTCTAGTAGTTTTGCGGTGGAGTCTTTGGGGTTTTCCACATAAAGTATCATATCATCTGCAAAGAGTGAGAGTTTGACTTCTTCTTTG